AGTCTTTGACTTACTTGGATCTCTCAAGCACCAACTTATCAGGAGAAATACCCAACTCAATCGGCCATCTCCAGTCTTTGATTTACTTGGATATGCATTCCAACCTGATTCAAGGGTCATTCCTTTCATCAATTTGCAACATGAGTTATCTATCGTATTTGGATATGTCCGATAATAAATTTGATGGAAAGATTCCACAATGCTTGCGTAATATCAGTTCGAACCTATTGATGGTAGACCTGGGGAACAATAATTTTCATGGCACCATTCCAAATACATGGGGTGATTGTGGTAAATTAGAAGGACTTATTTTGAATGGAAATTCATTAGAAGGAGAGGTGCCAAGTGGGTTGTCTGAATGTAAATCCTTGAAAGTGCTTGATTTGGGAAACAACCAYTTAACTGGTACATTCCCTCACTGGTCAGCTAATCTTCAACATCTCCAGGTTCTTGTTCTCAAATCCAACAAGTTGCATGGTCCCATAGAATCCTCTTCAATCGTTGAACACCCATTTTCAAGTCTCAATGTGCTCGACTTATCTCAAAACAAGTTTGTAGGCCATCTCCCTCGAAACTATTTTCAAAATTTTGACGCGATGAAGAATAGGGGGGTTAAAAATAGCACAAAACTGGAATATTTGAGCATTGGCAAGTTCTACTCTATCACTGTTGTGGTGAAAGGTTCGGAACTTCAATTTTCAAAAATTTCAGTTGACTACACAATTGTTGATCTATCTAGTAACATATTTGAAGGAGAGATTGTAGAAGTCATTGGTAGTCTTAGCTCTTTGATAGTGTTGAACTTATCCCATAACAACCTCAATGGTCGAATCCCAAAAGCTCTAGGAAATCTCCTAAAGATCGAGTCGTTAGAYCTATCATGTAACCAGCTAAAAGGAGAGATCCCTCAAAGTCTTGCCTTTATCACGGATCTTGAAGTCTTAAATCTCTCGCAAAACCATCTTGTGGGCCGCATTCCTGAAGGAACGCAGTTCAGGACATTTAATGCAACCTCATTCGAAGGGAATCCGGGACTATGTGGGTTTCCGCTGCCAAAGTGTGAACATCGAGGCGCCCCACAACTTGAAGTTGATGTAGACGAGGAGAGTGGATTTACATGGAAAGTGGTGATGTTAGGATATGGATGTGGAACCTTGCTTGGATTGGGGATGGGATATATGATGTTGTCAACGGGAAGACCAAAGTGGTTCAATGCAATTGCTGATGAAATAGAGCATATGATCATGCAGAGACAGAAGAAGAGAAGACATGTTTATATCGAAAAATGAAATCAATTCCTTAACTAACTGGTGCGTTTTTTGCATTAATTCTTATGTAATCAAATTGTGCTAAACACCTTATCACTGTTGTTGTTTTCAAAATTTTGTGATGCAGGTAGTGATGAAGTTTGAGATGTTTTGAATTATGCAAGTTCAGAGCATGATTTGAAATATGATGGAACCAGATTGGACATGGTCTTAGAGTCGTGCTATTTCTTTTGTTGCTTTCTGCATCTTTACCATTTCCCACTTTCTTGATTTTTGTAGATTTGTGTTTTACTTGATTTTAAAACTTCTTGTGAAATACATAAGCATCATCATAGAAACAGGTTTTGTTCTCATGGTATCAGAGCAATCAGTAAATTTTACATGGTTAGGTTCTGGTGAGAATATAAGTTATTGAGAAGGGTAAAAAATGATCTCTTTCAATGGATCAATCCTAATTGAAGATTAACAGTAATGAGATAGATCAGATCATTTCCTGTATCAACCGCAGTTCATGAGGGTCCAGATTTCTTCTCATGCTTCTGACTTTTAACTCTTTTCATAAATACTCACAATCATGCATGTTTTAAATAACCACGATGTACAAATAAAATAATAAGGCGATAATAATCATGTACAAAGATATCACACATGTGTATGATGAATAGTAATGAATATTAGCAAATGCAATTAAAACGAGGGTTGAATGTTTACGAGCTTGTTTTACAAGACACAGGTCAGTAAGGCATTCGTTGAAATGAGAACCGGTTTCGGACCGGACCAAAATCAGTCCCACTTTTTCTATAAAAAAGATAGATTTTTTACATATAACTTTTTTTTGAATTTCTTTTATAGAATACAATTTTTTTTTTATTTTAATACACTTTAAAATATGTTATTGGTTTTGTTAAAGAGATGAGAAGTAGGAGTTGTTAAAAATCGAAATCAAATACGAGCCAAAATCACAAATTATAGCAAGAATTGTGAAAGTTTTTTGCGTTTGTGAGTTGGTATCATCCTCCATTCATCATATGATTTATATATAGTGTATAAAAGGTCAATGAGACAAAAAAAAAGATCAAAAGATAAAAAAACGGTCATATAACTATTCGAATGGCTATAAAAAATGGTGACATTTTTAAAAAAGTCGAGCGAGGCCTTGTTTTCTGATGAAAAGTGTTAACAGGTCCCTTGACCTACGGTCCCAAACCGGTTGCAATTGGTCCCGGACTGGGCCGGTCCCAAGTTGGTCTGAGTCCATGCCGGATTAATTCCGCCATCTCTACTTATCAATGCACACAGATCCACGAGTAGAGGGCTTCTAAGTCTGTGGGTGAGGTGGGCCTAGGTTCGGGGATTGGTAGTATTGAAATTACTGATTTGGGCATGTAAAAATAATCTCCCATTGGACCTCGGTTGCATCAATATGGCCCAATATTGGTCTCAACCAGCCTAAATGGGTCTCCGTCTCAAACTGGTTTCGGGTCGTGGCGGGTCTAAATTGGTTTCGGTCCTAGAAATATGATTAATATGAGATTTGGCCCTAAAATACGTTGTTATCATGTGAAGAGTACTCGCGCAATACAACAAAATAAATCTCCATTTTAATGTTTAGTTTTTATTTTTCTCTATCGATATAATACGATCTTATGTTTTTTTTTTTTTTTTTTGAGAAAACGATAATATTTTTATTTTTGAATGAAATATGAATTTCAAGATAGCATAAAAATTTGAAAAAATAAATAAATTTATATTAGTATCAAATTAACTATTTAATAATTCTCGTTTTTCTGGTTTAACTTCTTTAATCCAATTTTTTATTATAAGTTAATTTAAATTTAATAACAAAGAATTTATTTTTGGTTTAATAATATAATTTTTTATAAAAATAATAACTGAACATTATGTTAAGACTTAATGATTATCTTAATTATAATTTAGATTTTCTATATTTAAAAAGAATGTTTATTCTGTATTTGATTATATTTATCTGCAGTTAGTTACACAAATTTAAAAATGGAGCTTTAATAAGTTGTACTTATGCAAAATTACTTGTAATCTTGAATTTAAATTAATATGCATCAATAAACAGTACTTCATGCATAAAAAATGGTTCTTAAGTGTTTCTGTCAAATGTTTTATAATATAATATAGATATAAGTAAAATCCACATGYTGATTCCACACAGAAGTCTTTAAAACAGAGAAACTTACATCAGACTAGACCTTTCGGTAATGATGCAATTCTGATCGAGATATGGAWTCGTCTCTTTATAAGCTCTCATGGTCACGACTCAAACCAAAGTCAGCATTCAACAACCGCCTTGTATCTACACCCCTCTYGTATTTATTCAACCGTATCCACCCTATCTTGACCCTCATCCAAAACAGATAATCATGCTTCATCTTTCATCAAAATCCTGAATATACAAGCCCTCACTACAACAAAATCGGGTTTATAGGACGCTCATAATTTTTAAACGTCATAATAGACCTCTTTATAGAACTTAATTTATAGGACCAAAAAATAAAGTGTCCTATATAAAAGCGTTGTAATAAGTTTATATGACATTTTTTGACGTYGTAATAAGTGTTTTGAGACACATATAAAGTGTCTCATTAGCAACTTTATAGGATAATATTTGAAAAATTATCTTATAAGAACAAATGTCCTATAAAAAAGTGTCCTATCAAGTTGCTAATGCGACATTTTGTATTAAAAATGTCCTAAAAAACTTGTTAAGGCGCCCAAAAACATCATATAAACTTATTACAACACCTTTAAATAAGACACTTTATATTTTGGTCATATAAATTAAGTCCTATAAAAAGGCATATTGGGACACTTAGAGATTGTGGATGTCCTATAAATTCAATTTTGTTATAGTGCCTGATTCTAATGAACTTGATCAGGGTTTTGTCTTTTTTGTTATCTACCATTTGGGCTTATACTTGTTTTTGAGTTTTAAAATATCAGTTTTGATAAAAACATGACACATAAAAATTAATGTATTACTCTGCAGTTTGAACCGTAGATTCGTAATTCAAAACCACAAAATAGAACTACGTGATGAAGTTTCACCAAAAAAAACACAAACATACTATAACTGTACTTCAAATCTTCTAAATCACACAATTTTACAGTACTGACGATTTGTACTGTTTAATAAACACTTGTACTGTTTAATAAACACCCGTACAAATATAACTTAGAGAATGATTAGACTTTTTTCTTCTCACAAGTCTTTGTTCAGAAACTTATATAATGGGCCGTTTACTAAACGTTTACCCGGAAAATGCTTACCAGGTAACTTTCCTTACCGGATGAACATGACAAGGGTCAAAAATCTTCTCCAGTAAGAACAATGATAAAGATGAAGAGTCTTATTCGGTAAGTGAAGGTGACGACTCTTACCCGGATAAGTGTTTACCGGGTAAATTGTTGCATACAATACTATTTTTGATGTTTTATTTAAAAAAAAATATGATTAATTAATAAATAATTAGTTTTTATTGTTATTAAAATACTGAAAAGATGTTAATAACATGTGCTTTTGTTAAATACTATCTAAAAAAGATTTATAAGTAGAATTAATTTAAGGATATTACATAAATATTAAAAAAAATAAAGAAAATGTGGATATGGACAGGAGTGTCCTCAAAAAGGGGCACTTTTGGATCTATGAAGCATGGGCTTTTTGGGAAATTGAGCAGTACAGGTTGAAGCTGAACAGAACTGCAAAAATAAATAAATAAATAAATATATTAATATTAATTAAAAAGCATTATGTGGATAATTAAAAATAAATAAATAATAAATATAATATATTAAAAGACAAGACACTTGTCGGTACATTAAAGGCAACCTTTGTGAGTGCCTTAAACAGGCAAATTCTTCCCTTTCAAAAGGAACCCCATTAAATTATATTCTTTTTTTTATATAAAAATTAATTTAATAAAAATATCTATTATTACAAAATTTGAGTTTTAAAATATTTTTATAAGATATTTTCTTTTATTTATATATATATATCTATACTATAATGCATTTGACTAAAACTCTTAAAAACTCTTAAAACTCTTAAAAACTCTTAAACCCGTTCATCCCTATCCGATTTCATCCCATATCTGAATTCGTGTAACTAACTGTAGATAAACACAATCAAATACAGGATAAACATCTCATTTTAAATATAAAAAATCTAAAATATAATTACTATAATAATTATATTCTAACAGAATACTTA